GAGTCGGCCTGAGAGAGCTTCTGTTCACAGCCTTCCTCCCGGAACCTCCGAGGCTCTCTGCAGTGACCTTCCTTACTCCTCAGGCCCATGATGGTGACCATGCTGCCATTTTTCAGGTGCTTTCTATGTGCCAGACACTGGGCTAAGCTCTTCAAGTGTTTAATCATCACAACCACACTATTAGCAAGTTTTTATACATGAGGAAATTGAGATTCAGAGAGGTTGAGCAAGTCACACAAGGACACACAGCTAATAAGTAGCAGACTGGCCGGGCGCAGTGGCGCATGCCTGTAATCCCAGCACTGTGGGAGGCCGAGGCAGGTGGATCTCCTGAGGTCAGAAGTTTGCGACCAGCCTGGCCAACATGGCAAAACCCTGTCTCTACTAAAAATACAAAAAATTAGCCAGGCGTGGTGGCGGGCACCTGTAATCCCAGCTACTCAGGAGGCTGAGGCAGGAGAATCGCTTGAACATGGGAGGTGGAGGTTGCAGTGAGTGGAGTTCATGCCACTGCTCTCCAGCCTGGATGACAAGAGCAAAACTCCGTCTCAAAAAAAAAAAAAAAAAAAAAGTAAGTAGCAGAACTGAGCCTGGAATCCAAGATGGTCTGACTCAAAAGCCTGTGGCCTTAACCATGTTAATGCATGGGGAAACTGAGGCATGCAGTGAAGGGGGGTCCTGTGCCTAAGTCAGCATAGCAGAGTCAGGCCCAGAGCCCAGATTTCCTGGCCCTGCTCCCAGGATTCTTCCAGAAGGCCATGTTGTTCCTCTCCCTGCCTGTTCACTATTCCCAGGCCCAAGAAGTATGGGCCCTCCAATGGGCTCCGTGATAGCTATTTAAATTAAATGAAAAAGAACAAAGTCGATATTTGCTACAAACTTAAAAATCAGAGGAAGAGAAGAAGCCTTGGGGAACCAACTAACAAAAGTACAGAGAACTAGAAGTGATAAGAACACAAAGATCAGCACTGAGTGTCCTTACAGGCCTGAGGAATCAATAGGTAGTCCCCGATTCAGTTCAGGAGGGGAACGTTCAGATAAGAGAGAGAATACAGTGGAGACTGTTTCGGAACCCTGCAACCAGGGATCACTGCAGCAGCTAGTGAGTAACTCACTCAGAGCCACCCATGGAGAAGCAATGGTAAAGGCCACAGCGGGGGCTGGGGCGAGGGCCAGGCCACCTGAATCCAAACCCCACTCTGCTGCATGCTAGCTTGCTGTGTGCCTTGCTAAGTTTCTGAGCCTCTCTTGTGCTTCCTTTCCCTATCTGAATTGTGGATCACACCTCACTGGGTTTCCTAAGAATTAAAGGACTTGAAACATGTGAAGCACCTACAGTAGAGCCTAGCACACAGGAAGTATGTGACGTACGTTAGGAATTACTGTCACTACTCCTACCACTCACACTGAGATCAATTTTAAAAGATCGCGTGTGCTGGACATGGTGGCGCACCTGTAGCCCTAGCTACTTGGGAGGCTGAGGTAGGAGGACTGTATGAGCCCAGGAGTTCAAGTCCAACCTGAGCAACATAGTAAGACTGTCTTCTAACAAATTTTTTTTTGTTGAGATGGAGTCTCGCTGTATCCACCAGGCTAGAGTGCAGTGGCATGATCTCTGCTCACTGAGACCTCCACCTCCTGGGTTCAAGTGATTCTCCTGCCTCAGCCTCCCCAGTAGCTGGAATTACAGGAGCATGCCACCACATCCAGCTAATTTTTCTGTATTTTTAGTAGAGATGGGGTTTTACTATGTTGGCCAGGCTGGTCTCGAAACCCTGATCTCAAGTGATCCACTTGCCTCGGCCTCCCAAAGTGCTGGGATTGCAGGCATGAGCCCCTGTGCCTGGCCGAAAAAAAATTTTTTTAACTAAAATTAAAATACTGTAATGAGACTGGGTATAGTGACTCACACCTGTAATCCCAGCACTTTGGGAGGCTGAGGTGAGCAGAGCATGACATCAAGAGTTCAAGACCAGCCTGCCCAACATAGTGAAACCCTGTCTCCACTAAAAATACAACAGTTAGCTGGGCATGATGGCACATGCTTATAGTCCCAACTACTCGGGAGGCTGAGGTGGAAGTATCACTTGAACCCAAGAGGCAGAGGTTGCAGTGAGACAAGATTGTGCCACTGCACTCCAGCCTGGGTGACAGAGTGAGACTTTGTCTCAAAAAAAAAAAAAAACTGTAATGAGAGAAGAGCTGAAATGCGGAAGAAATGAATGTTTTCAGACAAAGATAAGTGATTGTGAAGCTGGAAGCTGGTGTGCACAGTGGAATCTGAGGCATAAAGACGGGCTGGGGTTGGCTTGAGAAGGGTCTCATGGGTCATTGTAGGGAGTCTGGGCTGCAGGCACATTTAACGAAGTGCATAGGATAAGAAGGGCCAGACTGGAGGGAGGGGAGCCAGAGAGGAGGAGAACCCATGACGCTGTTGCAGCCCTGGTCTTTGTGAGGATGGTTGGCATGGCCAGCTGTTCAGGATGTGAATTGGTAAGGCTTGGTGACCACCAGGGGCAAGTGGTTAGCAAACCTGAAAGGCATATTGCCTGCCAGAAGCTCACCTGATTAGGACTGTGGAAAAAAAGGTAATTCAAGGGAACTATTTAATAGGCTCCTTGGAAGAAGCAGAGAGAGGTTATTTGACCAGAAGGAGACAAGGCTAAGAGATTATTAAAACAGGAAACCTCATAATAAAAACGTTTCCCTCTGAAGTCAGACAAAGAAATTAAGCTAAAGTGTAGCATGTAGGACTCAAGTTAGACAGGAGGAGGAATTGCTAACCACATGACAACTGTGTTATCTGTATTGCAGGAACACAGATTTTTTTTTTTTTTTTTTTTTTTTAGACAGGGTCTCACTCTGTCACCCAGGCTGGAGTGCAGTGGCATGATCATGGCTCACTGCAGCGTCTGCCTTCTGGGCTCAGGTGATCTTCCCAACTCAGACCCCCAAGTAGCTGGGACTATAGGCACGCACCACGTCTGCTTTTTGTAGACGCAGGGTTTTACATATTGCCCAGGCTAGTCTCAAAGTCTTGGGCTTAAGCGATCCACCCACCTCGGCCTCCCAGAGTGCTAGGATTACAGGCATGAGCCACAGCGCCCAGAAGAGCTTATTCTAAAATTGAACTTCTCGCCCCTCTAAGTATTGTCATGCTATGGGTGGAGAAATTTAGGAAAGTTCTGGAAATCCCTCCCTGAAGAATTTCAAATGTATAAGAACATTTAAAAAGTATTCAGGCAATTTAAATGAGTTCTGAGTAATTGATACAGAAGAAGCTGTTATTACTGCTCATCTTGATCCAAACATTAAGCCAGGAGGCTTAGAAGTAAACTCAGAACAGTGAGATAAATGATAGGCCAAAAATTCCAGGAACTGCTGAGTCAGGAGAGGGTTTTTCAAGACATCTGGCCCCAAGAAAATCTACTTAAAGCACAAGGAGTACTGGCTGACAGTTTCTGAAGCCTTGGTGGTTATATCTGAAAGCTTAGGGGAGGGCTCAAAGCAAGCAAAGCATGGGAGGATGGGATGCCTGTGGTCCTCCGGGACTGCAAGCTGCATCTCAGCAGAACTTGGGATGCTGCTTGGACCCCAGAAAAGGCAGATTGTGTGAGAGGCATAGCATGTGTCAGACCAAGACTGGGAGGTCAGAGGAGGGGAGAGCCCCCACACCTGGCCACTGAGCTGGGAGGGCAATTGAGAAGCAGTAGAGTGAGAGACACAGGATTCAGGCCTGGGGGCCCTTCAGGTGGGTGTGGGCTCTCCCTTTTGGGTATATCTGCAATTAAACAGGAGTGGGGCTGTGCATCCCCATCTAGTGTGAGGAAAGTGACTGGGGCTGCACAGCCATTCCTGATGATCCACCCAGAACAAGTCACTTCACTGTGGAGCCCCATGCTGCTTCTCCTAATGCTGAGTTCTCAGGAGAGCACTGAAATGAAATGATGATTTAAGACCTAGCCCGGAGCCCAACCAATCACTAGACTTCGTGTGTGAGCAGTTCTGTCTTCCATCCCCCTTTTTAACATGGGACTAAGAATTATTCCCCCCTCCTATTTCTCCGCGTGAGCAACATTAGGATTTGGAGTATCAAGCTTCTGAGGCCTGGACACAGAAACATTCTCGTTATGATTACAGTTGTCACTGTTTTCCCTCCAGCAGTCCGGTGGTCTCCTTCTCTCCCAATCTGTGGCACTCCTTCTATTCCATGCCAACCTCGTCCTGGCCCCCTGTAGCCTGTCATTTAGAGCTGCCCCTTGTCCATCAAGTCCAACCTGTTTTCTCCCACACTGCAGACTCACACCATCTTCTCGCTGCTGGGAGTGGACCATGCATATGTCACCAGTATTGGCAGACTCATTGGAATCGTTACTCTAAAGGAGGTGAGATGATGGTGGCCTACGGAAGCTGAGGTCGGCTCACCTGGGGAGAGGCGGGGAGGAGTTTGAGCCGGGAGCTCTGGGTCCAGACATCTGTCCCTCTCACCTTTCCAGCTCCGGAAGGCCATCGAGGGCTCCGTCACAGCACAGGGTGTGAAGGTCCGGCCGCCCCTTGCCAGCTTCCGAGACAGTGCCACCAGCAGCAGTGACACGGAGACTACTGAGGTGCATGCACTCTGGGGGCCCCACTCCCGTCATGGCCTCCCCCGGGAGGGCAGCCCTTCTGACAGTGACGACAAATGCCAATGAAGCCCTCATGGGTGGCCTAGGATGGCACTAGCCAGGCCATCAGCCCAGAATCTGCGTCTCATCCCTTCTGCCTTGGGAAGGCAGGGGACAGCTGTAGCCGGAGGCTGCGCTCTATCCCCCTCCAGACCTGGGGTGCCAGCTTCTCCCAGCTCATCCTGCCTGGAATCTGACCCAGTGCCCACCTGCAGCAAGCTTTGCAGGATGGGGTTAGGGTCACTTGACCCCTGTTCCCCCTTTGAGGGAAGGGGCAGAACTAAGATGGGTTTATAACTGGAACTTCCAATGACCAGATGTATATAGAGATTTACAAAGATTTTTATATTAATTTAATAAAACAAATTATTAAATAGAACAAAATAAACACCTAATGAGCCACTTATATATAGAATACTTGTGCCCGTTGGCGCTCGTTCTTACCTTGGGCCCTCTTACCTGACAAAGCCTACAAGGCACCGCCCCACAACCATTAAAACCTAGAGTCCAGTGACCCTGGAATGCAGGATCTGCCAGTCTCCACTGTGTGCTCATCAACACCCTGGCTGGGGCGGGGCCCCGTGCTGTTGTAGTGCTGGCCTTTCATTCCCTCCCCAAGGAGAAACACTCCCCCATGCTTGTCACTCACTGGCACAATTCCTGCCCCTCAGCAGGCATCAGCTGACAACTCCCAGCCACCCCTGTGGCCCTCTTGTGGCCCTCTCTAGAAGAACATGGAAGTCCCAGCTCTGTGGCAACTAGAGGCAGTCTTTCCTCCACCTGCCCGCCCGCTCTCTCGGAGAACTCTGCCTGAACGTGGGCAGCCCGGCTGGCTGGGAGGCTCCAGGACACTGCCCGCACATCCGAGAAGGGGTTGGGAAAGGGCCCAGGCCCCATTAGGGGGCCAGGAAACGGGTGGAGGGTACATGCTTTCATCATTCCAAAGCCTCCCAGAGAAGAGAAGATCCGACTGAAAGAACAGACCAAAAACCTTCTGTCTTTAGGAAAAAAAGAGGAAGATTTAGAGACGATGGAGAGGTGAAGCACAGCACGAGCCCAGCTGGGCAGGGGCCTGGGGGACGGCTCAACCCATAGGCTCTGGGAGGGCAGCAGCCGGCCCCCGGGTGGGGTGAGTCTATCAAGCACTGCACGTGGACTCGGAGGTGAGGAGAAAAGCAGAGAAGAAAGAGGCATGGGGAGGGTGGGGGGTGGCTGGGCCCCCTCCCTCCGCACCCCCCCACAGCCCAGTCACAACCACCCCCTTAGTGGTCCACATCATCTGAGGAGGAAATGTGCATGTGGCATTTGGGTTTACAAACATGAACATCACTGCCTGCCACAGCTGCAGCCATGCCCCAGAGGCCCCGGGCAACCCCCGGCAAGCCCCCGGAGTGGGGGCAGGACATGCGCCCCCAGCCCAGCCCCTGCCTCCTCTCCAAACACTTTCATGCAAAACACACAACGGAGAAGCGAGCGCTCCCAGGAGCCCTCTAGGCTGCGGAGCTCTGCTGGGAGCCTTGAGCCCACACTTGGGCATAGAGGCTCTGCCCCTAGCAGCAGCCAGGGGATGCATGCCACCAGGCATGAGGCGGGTCACTGTTCCTCCGGCTCTGCCTCATCCTCATCTAAGGACAGCACCCCAGAAGAGGCCACGTCAGAGGCTTGCCGCTGCCGCTCCCAACTGCCTACTAGTGGTGGGCAGAGTGGCTGGCAGTCCTTGCAGGGGGCTGGCTCCTCCTCTGAGGGGGAAAGGCAGGACTCCGTGAGGGGTGAGTTGTAGAGGGAGTCCTGGGTCTCCAAGGGGCCCAGGCTGCGGAAGGCACTTTCCCGGCTGGGGGGCAGTTTGGCGAGAAGCAGCTCATCCCCCAGCAGCTGGGAGGCCAGCCGGGCCGGGGAGCCCAACAACCCATCCTCCAGGCTGCACAGGCTAGAGCACAGGGTGTCTGGGGACACGGTCTGTGAGCAGTCGCTCTCAGGCTCCACGGAGCCCTGGCGCACAGGCCGGGAGAACCGGTGGCCGGTGAACAGGTCCTGGAGGTGCGGCCCCAGGGGCAGCTGCCCAGCGAGGTCTGTGAGGGGAACAGAAAAGAAGACAGCCTTGCTAGCTCGACTGCCATTGGTCACATTCCCACCACTCCATCCCTGGCATAGCTCTGGGGGCGGTGGATAGGTGCTGGGTAACTTTGAACCAGTCACAACTTTCTGAGACCTCAGTTTCCTTAATGGTGGGTTGGAGATTCTAACAATATGAGAACAAGAAATGCAGGGACCACTGCATATGGTTGTACAGTTGCTGACTGCACCACGGGGCCTGTCCAAGGCAGTGAGAGACAGCAAAATCTAGCCCATGCTTTGCTCACTCAGCAGCATGCCCTGGCCTGCCAGAGAAAGGGGCGCCTTTTTCTAATTTGCACAAAGATTCCACACGGGCTAGTAGCAGCCTTGGATAAACGTTAGTTATTATCATTACCCCAGGGGTCAAAGCAGGCCTGGAACTCAATCAAACAGAAATGCCTGTGGGTTAAGGTTCCATCCCGCCTTCAGACATCTACCTCAGCCCTCCAGACCACAGCTGCAGTCTCCAACCTGCTCTCATGTATTGCCTGCCTTGGAGAACTTGCTAATTCACTGGAGGGGTAGGGGCTGGTAGAGGTAATCTTCAAAGGCAAAGAAAGAGGTTGTGGGGAATGGTGGCCTGTGAGACTTGAGCCCAGAAGCTACAGAGAAAGTCAGCCACGTGGTCTAGGGAGTGAAAGATGAAAGGAGGGCTGAACACAGCTGCAGAGCCCTGCGGGGTCCCCTCTGCAAGCACAGTCCAGAGCAAGGCCCACAGGCTGGAATGCAAGGATGCTGAGTTGGAGCCAACTTGGCCCCGTGGGTGTTCCGGGCCCAGCATGCCTTCCTGTTGACCCAGGGCTGCAGCTCTGCAAGGGGCTGGTCTGTGCACTGCAGCTTCTCTGCCCAGCCACAGCCAGCCAGAAGGCTGCCTCAGGGAGGAAGAGGCAAAGGATCTGCAAAGCCTCCCTGAGACATCACTGCACAGAAGGTGTCCTTGAAGTCTTTGGGCTTTTTTTTGTTTTGTTTTCTGTTTTTTTGAGACCGAGCCTTACTCTGTCTCCCAGGCTGGAGTGCAATGGCGCAATCTCAGCTCACTGCAACCTCCACCTCCTGGGTTCAAGCGATTCTTCTGCCTCAGCCTCCCAAGTAGCTGGGACTACAGGCGCGTGCCACCACGCCCAGCTAATTTTTATGTTTTTAATAGACGGGGTTTCACCATTTTAGCCACGCTGGTCTTGAACTCCTGACCTTGGGATCCGCCTGCCTCGGCCTCTCAAAGTGCTGGGATTACAGGCGTGAGGCACTGTACCTGGCTTTTTTTCCCCTTTTTCTGAGGACTGCAAGGCACAACCATGCAGACAGGCAGAGAAGCGTCAGCACCTGTAGGAAAGGAACTAACCCATTTCTGCCCGCTCATCTCCCACCCATAAGTGTGCATAGCCTTCCTGACCCTTGAGTGTCCAGACCTCCCTGGACCGAGTCTGTCCCTCTCTCCCTTCCCCTCCCACAGGCTGAGAATGTGGGTACGGCTCTGAATGAGCCCCAAGGTCTATCAAGCAGGTCCTCCACAGCACTAGCACAGGCTGCCCCTCACCTGAGTCAGTTCCCCCAGCAAAGTCCTCATCATAGGAGTCATCAGTGGAGTCCTCGCCATCCACCGAAGACCATGCCCGCAGCTTGGCTTCTGCGATGGCAAACTGCTCAGCCACTCCTGTCATGGGGACGGAACGTATTAGCAGAGAAGGTGAGCTAAGTCTAGGGCTTGGCTTGGAGTCAGGAGAGAGGAGAAACAGGGTGTGGAAAGACTCCAACCCCCACGTCAGACCCAAGGAGACAAAAGGAAGCTGCCCTGTGACCAGTGTTAAGCTTATCCCCTTTCTGCCATCCACCTGCTGCAAAGCGAGCCTCTTGTTCCCCCTCGCTGAGGTCCGAATAGGAGGAAAAGGCTGACTCCAGGGCAGCAGGCGAGTCACTTGGCTTGCTCCAGCCCTTCCACTCAATCAGGTGAGCCACTCGGCCCTGGGCCATGGCGGTAGGCTTGGTCACGTGGTCCTTCACCACCTGGGAAATACCTGGAGATGGGAGAGTGGAGAAGCCTGGTAAGGGAACAGGCCAGGGCGTACCTGGGCAGGGAGGTGGAAGGGTGGCAGTAGTTAGGGTCCACGTGAACCTTTAGGTGGGGGAAAGGGGTGGGATTCATCTGAGCGATGGAGGAAAGGGGAGACCCCAGCATGTGCTCACAGGAAACAGTTCCAGAGGGAATGTACGAAAGGGAGGAGAAAGGACAGAGAAGCCAGAAACATGGGAGCGGGGGCTGCATACCATGCAGGGAGGACCTGGCCAGCGCAGCGATCTCCTGGATAGTTAGGGCTCTCCGGGACTTGGGCAGCATCGCGACTGTGTCTCCAACATTCACCTTGGGTGACACCATTAGAAGGTCAGTGCCCCTCTGCCAGCAATGAACTTCCCTCTAACATGCCCATACCCAGCCAAGGCATGAGGAGGAGACGGGATGAGGAGGGAACAGCGCCTATGTCCCAGTGGCTACAGGGAAATGTAAGATGAGAAGCTAGGACAGGTGAATTCTGTCCTCCTGCAAAGCAATGGAGATTCAGACAGGCCCCAGGAAGCAAAACTTCAGCTAATCCTCCACCTTCCTGGCACCCAGAGGAGACAGAGGCAGGGCAGGAAATGAAGAACCATGAGTGGAACCTCTTGGGAGAGGGAAGAGCAGGGAGGAGAAGAGTGTAGCACCCAGGGCTTTAAGAGTCCCCTCCCCTCGCCCCCACCCACTCCTCTTGGTCTTCCGACCCGCATTCCAGCTGTTCGGGCAAACTCAGCAAGATGGAAATCAAACACCAACACCTTCTCCGCATGTCTGGCCCTGCTCCCTAAGCTCTTTCCTGTGCATCACCCACCATTCTCCCATCCAGCCTGGCACCAAGCCTCAGCAATACCATCGACTCTCCCCTAGGCTTTGCTTGCCCACATCTGTTGATAAGTCCTAATGATTCCACCTGCAAACTCCCAGCTCCCACCCTGTCCTTCCTACTCCTACTCCACTGCCCTTTCTCAGGCCCTCAATGCCTCCTGCCCAGGTCAGCAGAAATGGTGTCCCACAGCCTCCTCCAATCCCATGCTCTCTTCCCAGGCCAAAGTGTAGTGAGTGGGGCTCATGTCTTCCCCAGACTGCTGTGATGGCTGGCTGGCTCTCTCTCATTCTTCCAGTTTAGGCTGAAATACCACCTTGTCAGAGTAGCTTTCCTGGCCCCCCTATTGGTGGTCTGTCCTCCCTCTTGTCTCTAACAAATCACTCTCTGTCAGTGTCCCCTATTCGTGGCCTTTAATCGTAGTGGGCGATAATGATCTCTTTCGCATTTCCTGTTTCTTGGTCTCCCTCACTGGTCTTTGGCTCGTGGGGAATTTAGTCTGTTTTGGTCACTGTAGTGCCCAGTGGTTAGCATACCACCTAATACAGAATAATCTCTTTAAAATGCATAGCCTGGATGAATGAGGTAAGATATCATGTAAACAGTTTTCCTGGAGTGCAGACGGTTACTTGCTTCTAAAATCCTGTCTCGGCTCCCCCCATTAAAAAATGCTTGCCATCACTTAAGGCCTCTCTCAAGTGCAGCTTGCTAGTTTGCCCGTGAGGCTAGTGCAGGCATCACACGCAGGCCCTGAAGGACCTCACTCTGTGATGCCCCTGCCTCCTTCCTGGCCTCCTTGGAATCCACCACTGATCTCCTCTGCCCAATCAAACCCCCTTCTCAGGCCAGGTGTGGTGGTTCACACCTGTAATTCCAGCACTTTGGGAGGCCAAGGCGGGTGGATCACCTGAGGTCAGGAGTTCAAGACAAGCCTGACCAACATGGAGAAACCCCATCTCTACCAAAAATGCAAAAAAATTAGTTGGGTGTGGTGGCAGGTGCCTGTAATCCCAGCTACTCAGAAGGCCGAGGCAGGAGAACTGCTTGAACCCAGGAGACGGAGATTACAGTGAGCTGAGATTGTGCCATTGCACTCCAGCCTGGGCAACAAGAGCAAAACTTGTCTCAAAACAAAACAAAACTCTTCTCTACCAGTCCCTGTCAGCAAGCAGCACACCTGTCTCCAGGAAAAGGAACCCGGCTTTCCTCTAGGCCAAGAATGCCATCCTTACCTGAAAAAATGCTTGCCATCACTTAAGGCCTCTCTCAAGTGCAGCTTGCTAGTAATGCTTTCAGCCCACGGCCTCTCTCTCTTCTCTGCCCCACCCCGCCCCTATCATTGCCCTTGTCTGTCTCCTGAGGGAGCTCCTGACGGCCAGGCCTAAGTGGGATGCACTAAGTTCCTAACTCCACCCTGCACCTGGCTCAGCGCTCCCTGACAAGCCCCAGCAAATGTTTCCATCACTGAAGGAACTGGGAGGCACACGCCCCTCCCCGGCATTGCTCGGCTCTCCACTATCACGTTCCTGTCCCTCGCAAGGACAGTCAACACTGCCCCTTGACCCGAGGCCCACCCTCGCTCCCTCCCCTTGGGTACCTGGCTGACAGGGCCCCAGGGTGGCGCCGGCAGCCTCCCGCCAGGCCCAGGGGGAGGAGCACCTGCTGGGTGTTTTTGGCTGGCTCTCCCTCCCTCACCTCGCTCCCCACAGCCGCCACCATCCGTGCCCGGCGCTCCGCGCAGCTGCGGCCCAGGCCCAGAGAAAAGGTGTATGTCTCCCTGGCAACCCATCACCATGCAACAGGGTCTCCCGGGATACGGCCCGGGATGCGCTGACGTCAGCGCCGAAGGCGCGAGCTCGCCGCCCGCTGGCACAGTGCCTAGCAGAGCAGACCGGCACGGGGGCGGCCTCCCGGCCCGCCGCGGGATAGCGCCTCCGCTCTCCGGAAAAGGGAGCCAGAAGCAGGCTGGCCAGGCGGGGGTGGGGAGTGCAGATCCCCTTTATATGGATGCCATCCTCCTTCCCCCCACCACCAGGGGCCCAGCACCTCCGGCAAGTCCTGGCTGTCCACCGAGGAAGGGCGCGAGGACCGGCTCCAGCCTCGGAGGGTCCGAGCAGATCCCAAGGAGGATAGAGAGAGACCCCGAGGAAGTTCAATCCACTCCACAGCCCACGCAGGGTCCGAGGACACTGAGGGGAAGGGGAAAGGCTGTTCAGCTGCGCCCCTACCTCTGCCAAGATCCCCATTTTCATCCAGTATTGCCATTTCATTTCTCAGACCCCCCCCCCTCCACCTTCCAGAAGCTCAGCGCCCACCAGGTGCTTTCCTCATCTCTAAAAGCCCCTATCCCACACATCCCTGGCCCTCAGGCCCCTGGGGCCACCTTGGGGCAGCCCACTGGCCACCTTCCTGGTCTGGATAAATGTTGCTGTCAGAACCCTGGCGTGAAACCAAAGGATGATAAATTCTGACTCTCCCCATTTCCCAGCCTACCCATTCCTCTTGGAAAGCAACTGAGTTCCGCCATCACTGTCCCCCACTGCCACCACCCTGGACCCTCTGCAGGTGTGCTGCCTTCCTCTCTCTTCTGCTTTCTTTACTCTCACCAGCCTCGGCTGGCCCACAGCTCTTCACTCTTCTTCTCTGACAAACTCAGCATATTTTTTCTGATTTTCACCCCTGTCCCCTGAAGCCATTTCCTGATGCCCTGTCCAGCCCCAGCCTGGTTCTCGCTGCTTCAACCTGGCTCCCAGTATCTAAGCCAGAGTGGTTTTCCTTTTCCACCTAAGCCCCTACTGCTCAGCTTCCCATTATCTCCCAGACCACATCCATGATCCCTGGTCTCACCTCTGCGACTTGTCTGACAAGTCCATCGTCCTCCAGGCCCTTCACGCTGCCACAGAAACATTTTGCCCAGCACAGAAATCATAGGCATGCTGGCTGTGTTGATGCAGAGAACCAAAAGCCTAGAACCGCTCCAGGCTCTGCTCCCAGTTCTATTCCTGTTTTGGCTCCGGATGCTGAGCCAGTCCCCTCCCCATTTGGAACCTGTGCCTAGTCACATAAGGAGAACATTCCTGCCTCATGGCTCTGAGAAGGTGGGAGTACCAGGGCTCAGCCAAGCTCTCTGGGGCTCAGGGAGCTGAGGCCCATCCCCTAGACAGTGCCAACAGGCAATGTACATCACAACTGACCTTTAGCTGGAGCAGCCGTCTCTGTCCCTGAGCCTCAGCCAGCTGGTGGTCCCCAGAAATGCTACCAACCAGAAGGAAGACAGGTTACAGGCCATCCCTGGCCCCCAACTGGTACCTAACCAGGGCTCTGAGGTCAGCCAAACTCACCCCTGACTAGAGGAGGTGATGACTTATTGAACTCCAAGCCTTTGCAGGGCCAGAGGGATCAGAGCAGTCAGCTGCTCCTCAGCTTCAAAAGCCACGAGGTTAACTTAGGACTACAAATCCCAGAATTCCTCAAGGGAAGTACAAATCTCAGCCACTCTTAGCTCCAAAGAACATCAAGTACCAACCACACCAAGGCCTGTGTGACTGACCACCTTCCCTGAAGGCCCAGGACCCATCCCGAACCCAGCCCTGCCTGACCCGAGGCTTGGAAAAAATCCACGACACCAGAGTAAAGGAAGCTGGCCAACCTCAGATGCACAGGACTCGGGCTAGGCCCGGTGCTCACGGCCACCCACGGAAACCCAGGCCCAAGCAGGGGTCAGCACTGCGGGAAGGAAGCCCTGATGGCCGCCTCTGGTTTCCTCTTTCCCTCCACAAAGTAGGGTGATTTGCTTTTGCTGATGGGGGCAGGAAATTAAAGCAACTGTAATAAGTGAGAGGTGATTCAGTGTTCACAGGTGCCCCAAACGGAGCCTCAGTCCCCCCGCGCCAACTGACTCCGAAACGGGGAGTAAATGTCCGACAGAAATTCTGTGGGAGGGTACTTGGCCGGGGTTGAAAGGCTACCACTTTAAGAAGATGGGGACACGGCTGGGAGAAGCAGGTTCCCAGCACAGGGCCACTCCCAGGACAGTGAAGGCAGAGGTGTAGGCGGAAGGGAGTGTGAGTGTGTGGGCGCTCAAGGCCGGTCGCCGCGGGCTGGAGTGGTGGGGGGGCTTCGGGCGGCTCAGCCCCTCCCCGGGCTGTGCGTCTCCGGACACCCTGAGCAGTGGGCGCACGGCGGCCGGCGGCGAGACCACGCGTCTGCCCTGCACCACCCCGAAGCAGGCAGGCCGTGGGAGCGCACCCGAGTCAGTCTGGCCCCTTCCCCGCTCATTCCCGCTCCCTCCTGTTGCCTGGCCCGCCTCCCGGTGCAGGCTCCTCCCTCTCCCGACACCGGCCCCCTCCTCAAGGCCCCCACCCACCCGCGGCCCGCGCACCGCGCACCGGCGGCCGCAGCCTGACTCCCCAACCCGTGCTCGGCCTCCGCCTCTTACCCTGACCCGCCGGGCTCCGAGAGCCGATACAGCCCATGGCCGGGCACCCAGGCGCACTAGCCTGCGCTCGGGGCGCGGGCCATCGCCTTGTAGAGGGTCGGGTCGCGGTCACCACTGGGGAGGGGAGAGCACGCGAGAGGGGAGGGGGTGGGAGTCGCGCGTCCGCCGCCGCTCCCCGGAGAGGGAACCGGGGCCGGTGACGTCAGCGCGGGGGCGTGGCCACGCGTCAACACCCGGAGTGGGCGGGGCGCAGCAACGTCACAGCCACGCAGGGGAGGCCTGGGCCGGGTTCTAAAACGCCGGTCCTTTCCTCCCGGATCCTACCGGCACCTGAAGGCAGGGGCGGCGGAACACTCCCTATGGCAGCCCCGTCACACCACACAGGACCAGAAAACCCCCCTCGATGCATCCAGCCCCTTCATTTTACAGATGACACCTTGAATCCATAAAGGGATTTTCCAGCCCGAAACCCAAGAGCCTTCTGGGCACAGGGGCTTGAAGCATTCTGGTGGGAGAGCTGAGTCCAGCAAGAATGCCCATCACCAATCTCTCTTCTCTCCTGACCTGGAGGGCACCCATCAAGCCCACCTGAGGGCCCAGCCTTCTGGGAAATCTCAGACCCCTGCAATCATGGACAGGGGAAGAGGCAGGAGGGTTGCCAGGTTACAGGGAATAGCGCTCCATGCCAGCTCTGGGAAGGAGGATCCCCCACCTATACCCACCTTCTTTAGAGGGAGCCGGCCATAAAGCAGAGGCAGTGAGCTTAATTGAATTCATGTTTAATAATTACAGGCACCGTGCCCCCCCTTCCCCCTGCCCAGGCAGCAGCAGGGGTGGTGCAGGGGCTGGGGCATATGCCCCCAGCAGCGAGGACGGCAGTCCCGAGTGATTTTCAGAAAATAAAAAAAAAGGACCCCAGGGGCAGGCGTTGATGCCCCCCCCCAAAGACACACCAAATTTCAAGACTTTATATATAATATATCTCTGTGCCCCAGGGGGAGGAGAGGGACACCTGGCAGCATCCTGGAGGGGGGCCCCAGGCAGCCCCAAGCCATCCTGCCTCTTCAGCCACTTTATTAGTTCAGACACATCGCACTACGGGCACCCACTGCCACCGCCGCTGCCGCCCCCCTGCAGTCCAGGCGGCTAGCCGGGCCATCTGTGTGTCCGTGGGGCTCCAAGTCCCCAGCCCCATCAGCCCTCAGTTGTGGTCAGACTCCTCCTCTGCCTCACGGAGCCACTTGAAGAAGGCCGTGACAGATTTCAGGGCCACACCCTTGCCCTGCTGTTCAGCGGGGTCCTTGCTACTCTCCCAACTGTAGAAGGCATCCTCCTTCACCACGTCCTCGTCATACAGCGCGTCAAAGAACATCCGCAGCAGGTCTGCAGGCAGGCAGGACAGCAGTTAGAGGTGACTGGCCACTGCCACTCCAACCTACCCCAGGGACTCCTCCCAGGCTCCACTGTTCACACAAGCCCTGACACACCATCCTGACGTGTGCCTGATCATTCCAGAGTGACTAGGCCTCGGTTGGACAGGATGCTAATCTCTTAATCTGAGACTGCTGCACAGCAGTGAGTCACCTGGCCATCAGAAAAACCTTACAAACTAGCTCAGCCTCACCTTGGCAGCTTGAAACTTCTCTGCCCATGATATTTTTTTTTTTTTTTTTTTTTTTTGGAGACAGAGTTTTACTCATGTTGCTCTGGCTGGAGTACAATGGCACGATCACCCCAACCTCCTCCTCCGGGTTCAAGCAATTCTCCTGCCTCAACTGGAGATTACAGACATGCACCACCACACTCGGCTATTTTTGCATTTTGAGTAGAAACGGGGTTTCTCCATGTTGGTCAGGCTGGTCTCAAACTCCTGACCTCAGGTGATCCGCCCACCTCGGCCTCCCAAAGTACTGGGATTCCAGGTGTGAGCCACCGGGCCCGGCCCCCATGATGTATTTAATTGAGAAAACTATATTCAGAATTGGTACTCCTAAATTTAGAAAATTGCTAAAATCCTGTATGTATCATATGTAAACTCCTGTATTATCCTACATGTAACCTGAAAATCATTCACTGCCCCCAAACAGATCCTGACAACAACTCCTGATCTCAATTTCCCTTCCTTCCCCACACATACACACCCTCTCTCTGGCCTTGAGACTTTTGTGGATGCTATCCTTTGCCAGAAACTTCCTTCCTCGTGTCACCTTCCTTCAGGACTCAACTCAAGCATCACCTGTTCAGACCCTCTTTCACCCCAACCGATAGCTACTGGGTGGCCTTCCAAGCATGTGTCCTATAACCCTCGAAACACAACCTACCCAGTGCCCACATGGCACTGTCAGTCTTTCCAGACCAAACCCTCCACTTCTAAAAGCAAAGGGAGGCTGAGAAAGTGAAGTGAAAATCCAGGATAAGCCATCTCTGAGATGCTGCAAGCTATTCTGCAAGGCATGGCCAGCCTCAGGCACAAACTCTGCCTATGGGCACAGCCGTCCGCTACCCCCACCCCACAGCAATGGGCCACAGCAGAGCAGACCCTTCGCTTATCCCATCCTTATGCTCCAACTCCCACGCATACCCACCCAGTGACCCCATCTAATTGATTACACACTCTGCCCTGTATTTTCAAGCCCAAGTTTCTCCCACCTAAAAACAAAAAGCCCTGTTTTTAACCACTATCTTACAGCTAATAAAAGATTTTGTCTACATTTGATGTTTTCCCTTCTTCCTGTCTTAGTGAAATATTTCTTAGTCCTTTCCAATCCAGAATCTGTCCCCTGCTCCACTAAGTACTGATTTTGCCTGGGTGGCCTCTATGATTTGATATTCCAGAAGCCCTTCATTTCTAGGCCTGCTCCTGCCAACACTCACAGCATCATCTAGCATCATCAGCCACATCCCTCTCCTCAAATTTCTGTCCTTGATTCATAGGGGCCTGTCCTCCTTTGATCCCTGCCAGTGTGTCCGCTCCACCTCCTCAGGGCTGTATCTCAGGCCCTTGTCCCTCCCCCTCAGGCAAGCCCGCAACCTCCTCTGACTCCCACGAGTTACCCTGTGCCTGCAACTCACAAAGCTGCCTCCTGCCCTGACCTCTTCTTTTCTAAAAGGTCAGATACTCCAGCTGTCGAGCTGACATCTTGATTCCCTTACTCAGGGACCACAACTCAACTTGATCCAGCATTCCCTACCACAGCAAATGACACCACACTCTGTTCTTTAAACCCACCATGACTTAAAACCATCCTGCGAGTCATCCATGACTTCTAATCTCTCATGGCCCCTACTCAGGCCAGTGTAACTAAAAGCTGCCAACTCCATTTCCTAAGTATCTCCTGATCTGCCCTCTCTTCTCCACTGTCACCAGCAAGGCTGAGCCTCTGGTGCTAACAGTGCCACATTCCCTCACCCCATTCAAATCATCTTCCCTCTATGGCCAGGATGATCTAAAAACTAAAGTCCAATTCCTTTATGCCTTGCTTAAAATCCCACAAGGGCAGCCAGGCATGGTGGCTCATGCCTGTAGTCCCAGCACTTTGGGAGGCCAAGGTGGGTGGATCACGAGGTCAGGAGTTTGAGATCAGCCTGGCCAACGTGGTGAAACACCATCCCTACTAAAAATATAAAAATTAGCCAGGCATAGTGGCAGGCTCCTGTAGTCCCAGCTGTTTGGGAGGCTAAGGCAGGAGAATTGCTTGTGCCCGGGAGGTGGAGATTATAGTGAGCCAAGATTACGCCACTGCACTACAGCCTGGGTGACAGAGCAAGACTCCATCTCAAAAAACAAAAAAAAGAAAAAAAAGAAAATTCTTGCCCTTAGGCCAAAGCCCGAACTCTGGCAAGGCTTACACCAGCCCTGGATGGTCAGGCCCGCATCCCTTTCAGCCCCATCTTGCCTCACTCATGACTGGTGGCTATGCTCTCCCACACTGCCCTCTCTTCAATAGTTCTCTTCCCCTGTGTCAAGTTCTTCCTACCTTAGGTAGAAAGCACACACATGGTGCCTGTTTCAAGCATTCTCCCCCTCCCCTCCCATTTGTTGTGGAGCAAATTCCCACTCATGACCCCTCAGGCCAGGTGTCCTCCCTCCGAGAGCACACGTCTTCCAGGCTCAGTGCTCACGTCAGTGCCACCTCCATGCCGGCACAGGAAGCTACTCAGCTTCCTCTGTGAGCATGCCGGTACCCTGACACACACCTATGTGCTGGACGCACAGCCTGAGTCACCGTCACCTAGACCTTGGCCTCCTAGTGTGGAAAACAGGGATAATACCATCCACCCTAAACATCTGTGAGGACTACATGACGCAAGGTAAGCGAAGAATTTCAGCCCTGTGCCAGGCCGGAGGGGCACAGTACCGGGAAGACGCTGTCATTTATCACCTCCACTGCTGGC